GAAAATAGCCCAATTGCTTTCGAGGGGGTCCCCCAGTAAAAATCACATTTGGGGGGTAAAATACACATTTTTTGGCAGGGTTCTCCTGGTATTCACATTCCAGGGCCTAAATATCACGTTATTGGGGTCGCTTCAACCTGCTGACATAAAAAACAACTGGCGGCAATCGAGGATTTGGCAACACTGGTCCGCAAACTACGTTTCATATAACTCCTCCCCGAACTTCCCGCTGCCCTGTATCTTGGTCTCTCATTGGCTGTAGGTCATCTCCCATGTGTTTTTCAGTCAGAACTCATTTCACACAGCGTGATTGTGTCGGCGATTCCCTCAGATCGCGTCTTTGATAATTCACACTGCGTGATTGTCACTCCCGTGAACGAGAATGAAAATTATAATAATAAGAACTCCGATTCACAGAAAATAGCTTTGCTAAATAAGGTGGATAGCCTCCGTTCATCGTATTTTAAATACATTTGCTCTATTTCTAACCTAAATATTGCATGAATGCTAAAAAAAATTCTGGAAATAATAATGGAAATAAATAAATTTTAGATGTAATAACTACATTTGAGATAAATAATGTTTAGTACCGTCAAAACACAAAATATTAATGAATTATTATAGTGTAAAAATATAGCACATTAATTTATGCCATATTCAGTCTTTTTAGAGTGGCGAACAGTACGAGTGTGACCCGTAACTGAAAACAAAACAAAAAAAAGTCCTTTCTGTCACTGCTTTAGCGCTCAGCACAAGCGGTTGAGGATGACAGCGAAAAGATCTTCATCAGACTGCTGCGCTCCGTCGAAAGGAAGCATCTGGAGGTGAAAGAGCTCCAAGGGCTACTTTATCACTGCTGCCGCGGGTTGTTTTTCATGACCGCAGGTTACCGATAACGTGATATTTAGACCATGGAGTGCGAATTTTACCAGGGGAACCCCGCTAAAAATGTGTATTTTACCCCTGAACGCGATTTTTAACGGGGAGCCCCCCTCGAAATGCCATTGGGCTAGTTTTGAGTAGCAATTGGGCGGGTTTTGTTGTGAAAATCTGGCAACCCTGCATCAGAGGCTAATCAATCGGAAGTCCCGCACATTCACAGAAAATAGCTTTGCTAAATAAGGTGGATAGCCTCCGTTCATAGTATTTTAAACACATTTGCTCTATTTCTAACCTAAATATTGCATGAATGCAAAAAAAAATTCTGGAAATAATAATGGAAATAAATAAATTTTAGATGTAATAAATACATTTGAGAAAAATAATGTTTAGTACCGTCAAAACACAAAATATTAATGAATTATTATAGTGTAAAAATATAGCACATTAATTTATGCATTATTAAAATGTACATCTCCAAATGAAATTAAATTGATTCCTTCGTTTTTAAGTGACATTCCTAGTCCTCCACAGCCGACACTTGCTTAGAATCATATAAACATCAGCGGCTGATGCACAACTGGCTGTTGACAGCGGATACCCTTATATTTACAGTTGATGAAGAGCACAATCAGTCAGCTGAAAACTCCCTGAGCTGTCCGTTGAACACTGATACAGGTACAGACACTCACATCCCTCCCAGCAAGTGAGTCACCAAACCGCATCAACTCATCCATGTTTACCGGTGTAAACCAAAACTCTTCTGATGTAATCTCCTCACTGACCTTTTCCAGTCCATAGACATTTACAACAGACTGAGCCGAGGACCAGAGGAGACTTCTTACAGTGTGAGTTCAGAGTTCATTTTTGGTCAATTCAGGACTGCGAGATGTAAACTCACAATTTTTTATTTTTTATCTTACAATTCTGAGTTCGTCTCGCAATTCTGACAATTCTGTTAACTCACAATTGCGAGTTTATAACTCGAAAATTGCGATATAAACTCAATTCTGAGAAGAAAAGTCAGAACGGAGATAAAGTTATTTTTAAATTTTTTATTCCATGGCAGAAACATAGAAGCTCCGGTTGCTATAGAAACAGGCTGTGTTCTGAGACGCATGCATTGGCTGTCTACTCTGAAAAAAGCTGATTTTTTTTTTTTAATGCTATTCGAGCATAAGAAACTAATTTTACAAGACAGCTGTTGTCAGATGTCATTGGTGTTTTAAAATATGAAATTTAATCGAAAACTTGGTGAGCAGCTTTGGAGAATTTAACGTTTCTTCATTTAAAGAGATAGGAGCTGTATTTGCATGACTGAAATTTTGTTGGCAGAAAGGCGTTTCAAAGACCAAGTGAAATGACTTGCCTTAAAGATACATCTTAGTAAGTATCTTATCTCTTTCAGACTGCTGTGATTTGACGTTAGACCCAAACACTGCCAACTCTTTCCTCCGTCTTTCCGGAGACCTTGCAGAAGTCACGACCGTCCACGAGCCGCAGCCGTACCCCGATCACCCAGAGCGCTTCATCAGCTGGGCTCAAGTCTTGTGCACCGAAGGCCTCTCTTGACGTGGATATTGGGAGGTGGAGTGGGGAGGCGGTGAAGGAGTTTCTATTGCCGTTTCCTACAGAACTGGAGAGAATATAGACCAAAAACTGGGATGCAACTCAAAATCGTGGAGCTTCGATTTCTCAGATTCTCTTTGTTTGTTCCGGCACAATAAGTTTAGTGTTGAAATACACACTCCAATGCCACACAGAGTCTGCGTGTATCTCGATCACAGAGCTGGAACGTTTTATTGCATTTCTCTGGCAGAAGATACCATGACTTTGCTGCATCGAGAGCAAACCACTTTCACTCAGCCTCTCTATCCTGGATTCTGGGTTGGACTTGGATCTACTTTAAAACTCTGTCGAACTTTAAGCTTTTCAGCTTAGTTACGCATTCTGTGCTCTCATTTTGTTTCAATGGATAGTTCACCCAAAAATTAAAAGCACGTCATTCGCTCACCTTCTTGTTGCATTTGTGTTTTTCTCCTGTGGCTTGTTGTTGTAGAGTCCATGCAACATTGTGAAAAGTAGCGCTCTGACCTCAATATATCTTTTTGTTGGAATGACCATTTTCATTTTTGAGTGAACTTACCATTTAAATAAAAAATGACAATATAATAGAAACTTGTGAAACCAGGACATGAATAAAGAGCATACAAATAAAGACAGTGAACATAGTGAGTTGGTTCACGTGGCTGAACAGTTTATTGGTAACTGTGATATAAAAGCAGCAGTAACCCAGTGTGAAATGGAGATGGAGGTGAGAGGCTCAGATCTTGTTAAAGGCAGCAATGTCAACACTCTGGACCTACAACATAATGAGGAACAAATGGAGTATTGGTCAATAAAACCTTGAATATTTGTCCTAACAGTTTATAATGTAATCAAAGTGTGCATCTCAAAAAAAAAAAATAAATAAATAAAACGAGAACTTGACTATTCGGATTTCACCTAACCATGATAAAGAAATAATTGTATTTTAAAAGGTACATTGTAAATAAATGAAGACCAATATATGTATTTTTTGTCATTGTGATCATTTTCATAAATTTACCAAATGTAATATAATTTAAATTATTTCTTTATTTTCATTACAAGTTATTTTATTTAATAATTTTTTATTATTTTATTACAGTTACTGTAGTACTGTAATGCAACAAAAACACACATTTGCAAATATTAATACATCATTATAAAATCAGTATTTTACTGCAATATAAAATAATTGTAATACACTATAAAATAACTTTTTAAAACTATTATAAAATAACTTTAATTTATATAATACAATTTAATATAAATGTATATAATTGTTTTATTTCTTTATTTTCATAGCAACTGTTCATTTGCCCTCATAATTTATCCTCTATTTTATAAAAATTACCATTATGCAATAAATAAATTTTTCAAGTTTATACATTATTAAATATTTGTGTTTTACTGATATATTTACAATATTACTGATATACAATATAAATATACAGATTTTGCTTTTAAATGTACTGTATATAACGCACAAATAAAGCCTATATTTAAGACCAATGTTTTATTTTTTATTGCAATAGTATATTTTTTATTATAATTTAATTATTTTAAGCTATTTCTTTATTTTCATGATTAAAGTAATTATGATCTAATGCAAAAGTACAATGTCTGGACACATTAATGGAAACTGGAAGAGAAAATGTAAACAAAGCAAAAAAAAAAAAAAAAGGCCTTAATACTTTAAGATATTTAATTTTCTTTATACAAAATAAACATTTTCTTTTGATTGTGGGGAGAAACGTGACCTGATCTTATTCTCAGATTTAGCAAAAAATATACTGCACTTACGTAGTCCTCAAATTTGGTGATCTCCTCTTCCAGAATGTCTGTTCCCACTTTATCGTCTTCTACGACACAGTTGATCTGCAGCTTTTTGATGCCGTAGCCGACAGGAACCAGTTTAGAAGCTCCCCACAAAAGGCCGTCCATCTGTATGGAGCGCACACACTCTTCCAGCTTGGACATAACGGTCTCGTCGTCCCACTGATCAATGAAAAACCATATACTTGAAACTGAGGAATTATACTTCACACTTTAAAGATTGTGGGTGCTTAAGGTCTCGTACAGGTTTGACGTCCAGCAGGATGGAGGATTTGGCGATGAGGGCTGGTTTTTTGGACTTCCTCTGGGCATATTCCTTCACCCTCTCTGCTTTGATACGCTCTGCCTCCTCATCTTCCTCATCACTGCCAAAGAGGTCAATGTCGTCGTCGTCATCGTCTGCACCATTATGTTCCTCAACCTTAGGCTTCTGGACAGGAGCAGCCTTCAGATAAAACAATATGCAGGTTATGAATGACTGAATTTGTTTAATGCACAAACGTCGACTTTATGAGGGCAGGATTTCACATCTACCTTGGTGACAGTAACGGTCTTTGCAGCCGGCGCTTGGCTCTTCTCCAGCACAGCCATTCTGGACTCCAGTTTGGACAGCACTGCTCTCAAATCATCCACCACTGGAAAAGCAACAGCTCTATTAATCTCACACTGATCATGAGCAGCTTCAACACAATCAAGTAACACAAACTGGATATTCAGCCAAAACTCAGTCAATCTCTGGGTCCGTTTCAAACTCTAGCGTGCTGCCAAAAAATAAAAATAAATAAATAAATAATAATAAATAAATAAATACAATTTAAAGTTTGGGGGGAAAGTTCAAAAACAAACATCAAAAATCACTAAAACTTTAATACTGAAAATATATTAAAAAATCCATTTAAAATTGTATTATTTTAGTATTGAGATACTATAGTCTTTATTCAATTTCAATTTTAGAGTTCTAATAATTTAGTTCTTTATTTTTTATATGCCTATATAGATTTTATGAATTTTATTTTCAATTTTGTTTTATTACATAAAGTTAAAGCTAAATGAAAATGAAAAAATTTTACCTAGGCAACTAACTGAAATATTATTTTTTTTTATAATATTTTATTTTATTTCAGTTAACATTTATTTCAAATAACAAAAATATTTCTCATAGCTTTAGTTAACTATAATAACCCTCACTCAAAATATTAATAAACACTACAATACCATATAAAAAATTTAATAAAATAACACTGGTTTCCACACCTTCAGACCAGCAAATTTCCATATCGTCTGTACTTTTTCAAGTTTTCTAGCAGACAAAATATTGTAGAGCTGAGCATAACTACAAACAAAAATATACTCATAAAAGAAATTTCCATGAATTTTCTAAGCCTGGAAAACTTTTTTCCTGTGGGAACCTGGCACAACTTTTGAACATCTGATCACAAATGGAACATAATACATAAGTTAAACATTTCTCAACTGTGCTGCATTTATGGACACGGCCACATTGAATCGCCATCATTCATTGTGGCTTATTTCACTGACAAGTGTCTTCAAATCAAAAACTGGGAAATTGCTGTCTAGGTAGGCAACTCGTTTGATTTTGGAACAGCCATCACATGTGTCTCTTCTCATATGTACCTTTGTGCAGATTCTTGTTGTCCAGTTCCAGACTCTTCAGACGAGAGACCAGCTCACTCTGATCCTCAGACTTGCTGGCATTCTGACTCTGCAGATCAGATGGAGGAGAACTGAATTTTAGTGAATTACATCTCATAAAGAGCTGACTGTTAAAGGGGTCATATGATGCATTTTCAACTTTTCCTTTCTCTTTGGAGTGTTACAAGCTGTTCATGCATAGATAAGATCCCTAAAGTTGCAAAGACTAAAGTCTCAAACCCAAAGAGATATTCTTTATAAAAGTTAAGACTCGTCCACGCCCTCCTAAAACGCCTCGTTTAAACACGCCCCCACATGTCTACGTCACGATGTGGGAAGATTTGCATAACACCACCCAAATGTTCACGCAAAGAAAGAAGGCGTAACTATGAAGGTAAAATGACGTCAAAAAGATTTGCATACGCAGGGTAAGAGTTGTGGAAGTGTACATAAGACTGTAAGCGTAAATTAAATTTGCATGCGCAAGAGAAGCTTTGTAAAGGTGTAAATCGCGTTTCAAGCGCAAGAAAAAATTGTTTGCAGCATTTTACTGTTACTCGTAAGTGTAATTCATGTATTGTGAAACTGCAGCTTCATGCTAACGCAAAATAAATATGATCTGCATGCTTCTGACTTCCATTTTTCCGCGCTTACACTTTTGGCACGTTTTTTTCACCAAAAGACGGTCAAAAGCACTGTAAGCCTATAAAAAATCATTTACATTGCTGGTAGGTTATCATTGCACAAATTAACACACTCTCTATGATAAAAAAAAAAAAATTAGAAGAGTTCTAAACTAATGCACTGTCTTCACACTCACAGTATCTCACGCACACACCTTTAGTCAGATCATGCTGCGCGAGCACAGACATTCTTTTTAGCACTCAGACAAACTTTTTAGCACTGCTCCGCAATTGTATCAATAAAATAGCTTAATCGCTGAAGAGCTACATTATCTTTCTCAACAAGAAGCTGGTAACATCATCGTTTCTAAAGGAATTAAAGCCACAGCTTCACTGTTAAATTATCTTTCTCAACAAGAAGCTGGTAACATCATCGTTTCTAAAGCAATTAAAGCCACAGCTTCACGGTTAATAGAGAAACGCGGCAAAACGGTGGTAATTCATACATACACAGCCTCTCTCTCTCTCTCATGAATGACAAAGATAAGTAGCACACTTAGCAGATATTTCCATATTGCGCAAGTGGGAAGCTCTGTTTCGGGGATTACGTCTCTTTATATCAGGCAACCCCAGTTGTGTTCCTCTGCGGCCAGATTAAACCTTGTAGGCTATATATTATGCTCTATTCTAGGGCTGCACGATGAATCGCATGCGATATTTAACGCGCATCTTATCAGTAAAGCCGGTTCTGTAATCAGCGGTAAAT